CCTCACAGCTCACAGGCAGGGCCAGTGAAGGGGGTACCCTCACAGCTCACAGGCAGGGCCAGTGAAGGGGGTACCCTGGCTTTTTTCATCCTGGCTTTTTCTCTTTTTACTTTTTGCTATTGTGAGGGTTTTAAGCAGACATTAGCTTCACATTTAACACATTCATACTTTTATTTTATTCATGGCCAGGGGTGAACAGGACACAGTCCAGTCATTTCTGCCATCACCAGCATGGGGAGGATTGTCACAAATGGACAGACTGGTCCTATGGGTTTCTGATGGAATGGCACATGTAGTACAACAGATGTGGTATGATAAGAAATGTGCAGCATAATATCTATGGTGAAGAGAGACATTGGTAATCGAATGTCTATGGTATGGTGAGGCATGTGCACATCTTTCCCTTGAATTTGTTTTTTTAGGGACACTGGCAGACTCCTGCCATTTGAAAATAAATAATACAAATAAATTAACTGATGTAGTCCTCAGCCTCAGTTGCCATGATGAGGTTAAAGGTTAATTAAAGGTTGGGGTCAGCTTATAGTGAAACGTGGGGAGAAAGTTTTAGTCAGTGATTTGCTCTTTTTATTTTGATTTTTATGTGGTGATTCATTTGAGGAGGAACCATGGAAGTTTGCAATGAGTCGTTTCAACAAGTCTTAACTTGGAATCAAATTCCTATGCTAATTCAAACTGCCTTGTACTTTTTCTCATTTATTTTGTGTTTTTGAAGACTACACATTATATGTTACAATAATATATGTATTAACTTGGTTTCCAAATTTATTAAGTTGTCTCTAACTGAATGATATACGAATCGCCATGGCTTAAATTAAGACCATATTTAAGACGTTTAAATCCACACAAGGACAAGATGGCTGTAGCATGCCACTCCTCACTCTGCCAGTGGCACAGCGCCCTCTTGTGCTGTGGTGGAAGAAATACAGATGCAAGACAGCCCAATAGAACAAAAGGAACAGATTCGGCTTTCTCGGGTATCACTGACACCAGATCTGTATCAACAAGGTAACGGCGATAGCTTCTCTCCAGCACAGTCCAGAACATGGTGGATTTAGCGGAGGAGTGATCCTGCTGAGGTAGGTGGCTTTCTGTTTAACTCACTATTCTAACGTTTCAGAAAAACCGATATTCAGTTATTGAGTTGTTCGTCTCAGGAGCGAAGCACCTGATCAGCAGCTACAAATTGCAAAGCAGTTTACTGGTGATTGCACAGTGCTGCTCTTCTCACCAGGAATTACAAAATGTCAACTATAATTCAATGATGCTCTCGCTTTGGCATGGAACAGATACCAACACAGGACACGCATCGCGAGTCTTCAGTGTGAACACGACGATACCTTGTTACTGAGAGTCTTCCTGTTTAAGGACTTGTTTAATTAGTTATGCTTGGCCACCTAATTACATTATGAAACCCTACTGCTCCTCCACTCTCACTGCACCATCTCTCCTCCCTCACGCTGCACCCAGCAGCACGATGCAGCTGGATCTGTGCCTCAGCCCCTGGTTCCAGGTGATATCTCATCTCGAAGGCTCAGCACCATGAGAGCTGCCACCAGCACCAGTGCCGGCGGGACCAGGCAGGCCATCAACGCCACATCGCCACCCAATGCCGGCGCCCCCACTGCCTCTCACACCAACACTCATCATCTCAGCACAGGTGGGTGCAGCAACATGGCCAAACCTTGGCGTCTGTGCATCTGCCTGCCCTATTTCTCAGGGCATAGGTGGGCACTGTTTGGGAGAGCCAAAGCCTGGTGAACCGTACCAGACATCTCCTCATGTTTTGGTTTTACGAGTTCTTAAATGATCCCTGCAACACCTCACATCAGGATATATGTGTCTGGGAAATCCTTGAGTTCCACGTATCTATTCTTCATATCATGACGTTAGAGTTTTTAACAACAGGGACTGTGCTGTGATGTGTGAACATTCATCTGGACTCCGGCCTCTGCTCCTCTCCACAGGTGCTGTCAAACCTCGGCTTTTTGTCAGCGGCCCACCAGCTAATCCTGTCAAGGTGTCCAGGACACACCAGGAGCTGCACAAGGAGCTTCTGCTGGCGCACAAAAAGTAGGAACATAAAGGCTCATTTTCTTCTAAGCCCTCCAGGGGGCGCTGTTTAAGCACACAGCAGGGGGGCGGCGATCTGAGATGGAAATGCTTGTTTTTCCCGTCCCCCATTTCCATACCGTTATAAAAAATGGATGGCTGTCTCTTCCACCTTTTGTGTCGGGTCAGAATGCGCACCTGGGGGCTGCAACCATACACCGCCTGTCAAAAGCACGCCCTCTGCGCAAATGCATGCAAACAATACTGTGTGCGCAACCCACAGTTGCAGTACATGCTATAACATGCTTGTTAGCTTAACGTGACCTCCACCCAAACCAGACTCATGCCCCCATTCTCTGTCTCCCCCCCTTCGCCCACAGGGGCCTGGTGATGTGCAGGAGACCGGAGCTGCACCTGGTGCTGGAGCGACGGAGGAAGGAGCAGACTGAGAAGGAGGAGGGTGAGCAGAACCGGACCCCCTTGGAGCGTGTCTTGCTTCAGAGGCAGCAGATAAACCAAGAGGTAAGATCAGGGGCAGGGGATGGAATCTCACACACACCCGGTGCTGCCACCTTCTCCACATTAACTTTCCACACACACTGTATTCCATCACAAACATCATCTCACTCAATCCATTTCACACAAATCTCTCTTATGACGTATCTCAGAAGGAGAAGCAACTGGAGAAGGCCAAAGAGGATCCCCAGCTGCTGGAGTTTCTAAGGGTTCGAGAAAACCTCAAGAAGATCCACTCAAGGCACATGAACGAGCACAGTGGGAGATAAGGCCAGGCAGTGTAGAAATCTCTGACAATATAGACTCCTCGACGAATAAACACAGACTCCTCTGCCAGATGGAAATCTAGTATCAGTGCTTGAATTTGTGTTCTAGATATGTGTGGGGACGGCCTGCTTTGTTTGCATTTTTGGGGAAGTAGCTACAAGACATCGGGATGTATTGGTTTCAGGTTTAATCATGAAAGACACCAGAACCGTCACATACTCATGCTGTGTAACTTTTACAGTATTAACGCACTTTTTCCACTTGTCAACTATAGTAAAAATTAATATTTAATTTTAAGTTGTGGCATCTACAGCTCCTCCACTGCAATAAAATTTTAAATGGTTTGTGATCTGTTAAGTGAATGGAACGAAATGCAAGTACTAGGTCAGTCCGTCTGAAGTTCCTGTTGAAATTTCTTTTCCATTAAATCCCTCCAAACTGTATGTTTTTAAATGCATAAAATTATGATTGTGTAAATATAAAACGTCATCTCCTACCCTTTCTGTTGCACAAAACAAAACATGGAAACATTTCAAATACGTTGTTCGTGTGTGTTTACTTGCTTCGGGGTGGAAACTCCCATGCAGTTTACTGTTTTTCAGAAGTATTATTATTTAAGAATTACCTCATCACGATGGGTAGTTGCACTTAAAAACAAAAAGCGAATGTAATAAATCGCTAACCCCTTGCTTCGTTAAATTGCGTTTTATTTTCATTCCTGCATACAAATACAAGATGAAGTAAACCGAGGCTGTTACATGCTGCTTTCACTTTTAAAAACAAGGCATCTTCCCGGTTGATTGCGCTGCAGCCCCGGCGCGTGCCGAGCCCCTGTGCACGTGATGGACCGACGACATGCCACATGACGGTCATATGATAAGAAACGGGACCCGGGACAGACAGAGGGGTCGGGGATTCCTGTCTTGGGAGGAGAGAGGCAGGATCCGAGCGCCGGTGCGGGAGGAGGGAGCACTCGATCTGTGGATCCGCTGTCGTGAGTTAGTTAATCGGTGTTCCGTTACTGGGAGACGGTGCACCCTGAGACACTACTTATCTGTATAAAGGCAGGACAGAGTCTGTCAAGTCGGTAAGTATGAGAAAGGTGACGCCTTACCGTCACAAGAGATCGGACTATCAGCTCACCAGCAGTCAGCCAGTCTTGGTGATTATTAAACTTCACCTGTCTGGCTGCGACAACAACGCTCATTTTAACTGAAAACAGACTGAACCATGTTAATGATACTTTGTCTCTTCGTTTTCATATTTAATATAGTTATCGATCATGACTGCAGATACCGTTTGCAGTAATTAAACTTCTCTGTCTAGTACAACTAGGTTTTCCGGTATTAATGTGGTATATGTGCGGCAAACATACTAAATGGAATTTTGCATTGATTTCATAAGTTGAAACTTGCACTTAAACCTGTATAACATAGTTTTATTTTAGACAGCTTTATACAACGGCTTCTTTTATGGGAGAGAAATAAGGCGTGTTTAGATTTAAAACCAGTTGATTAATCACACTTAAGAGCCACTCTGTACCTATGAATGGTATTTTTTGTGAAACATTCGTTTAATCATGTTAGGTCATATTTCAACTGTCAGGTGTTGTCTTGGTATGATTGCGGTGTGACCCTTGGCCCTGTGTTTGCAGGAACGATGACCACAGACCGATTGGAAGGGTACCGAGCAAGAATCCAGGCAGAACTGGACCAAGTGGTGGCGTACTGGCTGAAACATTCCCACGACAAAGTCTACGGGTACCATATGAAAGCCACAACACCCTCTTAGAGGGTAGCTTAAAGTACATGTAATTCTCAAAATTAAGGCCAATACTGTTCATGTCTTTATTAACATACCACAGAAATTCTGAGTAGTTCTTAGATCATTACACCTTCCCTAAACATGAATAAACTGAATAAGCCAGTTGCGCAATCCTGTGTTAATTATCTTCCTCCCTTACTCCCTCTCTCCCTTCCTTCTTCCGGTTGGCTAATTTTAAAGCATTTCCTGTTGTGTGAATCTTTTTCCTCAGTGGGTTTTTCACATGCCTTGCAAAGGATGGAAAGATTTATGACGAGCTGAAGTACGTTTGGCTGCAGGGTAGACAGGTAAATATCATTTACATTGACATTTACATTTTACATATTTAGCAGATGCTTTTGTCCAAAGCCACATAAAGGTGAGGCAAATTGCAAACATACATACTGTCATGGAGTCAAATAGGCATAAGTGCAGCTAGGCTGAGCTTCCAATGCATGCCCAGGTACGAGTGTAAGCAGTATTGGAGCAGGAGCTACACAACAGCTGTAGAAATATACAACAAATACTCAACAACTTCTAACAAAGCAAGAACCTAATAAGTCCATTCAAGGACCAGAAGTGCAACACAAGAACATTCAGGGAACATAATGAGGCATCAGGCTAATAGAGGAATTCATGGAACAGATGGGTCTTGAGGCATTTCTTGAAGGTGCAGAGGGAGTCTGATGACCAGATGTGGTTCAGCAGCTCATTCCACCATAATCTAATTAGTTGCAGCGAAAACCTGCACACATGTCGGCCCTTTCTGGGTAAGATTGCCCACCCCTGAGCTAAGGGTACACTTGGCAGAGCCGGGAGGGTACAGCCCCAGTGACAAGTCAAAGGTACAAATTGGTTCTTTATTTTACGTCATGTGTTGGTGTTGCCCTGCAGACAGTAAGGCTGCCTCTGACAGGCTGCTGTGGACGATTACGGAAGACGGCACAAACTCTGCTGTCGCCTCTGTTCTTAATGCCTGAGCTATAATGAATTTGCTTTGTACAGACCCCGTTTTGGGGTTTAGCCTGGTCGGCATAGAGCTTTTAGCTAATGTGACATACTTTGGCTAATTGCTCACATGTGAGAACTGCTGATCTCTGGCTACATCTGTTACGGTAAATGATTAACACTTCTTAAAAAAACATCAAATATATCAAAGTACTTTGCTTTAACTCTAGGCTGGGTGTTTTATAATCATGGCCATTCAAATTTTGGTTTATTCTTTACCATTGCCGATGTTTTGATCATATCTTTGTATAATGTGAGGATTGCCAGTAATCTAGACCATTTTGAGCGAATGGCAGTTTTATCAATAGAAAAAATATTAGTGTATGTTTGGGATACATAGGAATAATGTTCTTGGAATAAATATAAATTTTATTTCTACAAAGATTTAACTCTGTCTGCACCGTGCATTGTGGGTAAACACTGTTGCAGAGGATGACCAGTAGAGATGGGAGAATATATTGAAATTCAGTATATCACAGTACAAAATGTGACTATCATGTGGTCTTGCAATACCTATCATTTGGTCTGTATAACCTTAGTAGTAAAGAAACTTTATTAGGGCAACTGCTTAACCAGTTTTATGCCGCTAGTGCAGCAGAGAGGGGAAATGCCTCTGTTGTGTCTGTTCCATTATTTCAAACCACATTCTTCAGTTTTCCATGAAAATGGTGTTTTTTTCCAGCGTTTCATGGAGAGTCACAGCATTACATTTTGTTTCTAATTTTTTGTTATTGCAAAAAATCGCATGCATTTAAATTGGTTTATGTGCCTGTTATATAATATTATTTTTCATTTACATATTTGAAGAAATAATAGTACACTTCTTCACCACAGTCATGCTTATAATTGGCTCATAATTTTTTACATTTATTTTGCTGCTATTGAATTGTGGACTCCATATCGTGTATTGAATTGTATCGAGAAAAAAGCATGTCGTTCCATCCCCATTGACCAGCGTTCCACATTGGTTTATTTGCAGGTATGGATGTACTGTCGCCTGTACAGAACAATGGACCGGTTTCACTTGCCTGAGATTCTGGAAGCTGCTAAATCAGGTTGGTGAAGCAGAGGACCTGTGTGCTGTGGAATTAAGGGCCTCCACTAAAAATCTGATTTTTTTAAATTTTTTATTTTTTTTTGCTTTTCCCTCAAAGGTTTTACTTAAGGGATGGAAAACAGGGTTAGAATATATTAAGGAGTAGAGTCTCTATTGTAGTGTCAATAATGTATTGTTGTGATTTTTTTTACAAGTTCATCATACTGAATGAATGCTTTTAAAATGCTCTAACTCTGTCTCCCTACTCCCCAATACAGGTGGGGAGTTCCTTCGGCGTTTTGCATGGGTGCCCTCTGCTGGCAGCACAGGGAAGTGTGCCTTCTGCCTGACCCGAGATGGACAGCCAGTGAAGGTGCAGAGGACCATATTCAGCGAGTGCTTTTATGTCATGGCGATGGACGAGCTATCCAGAGTTACTGGGGATGAGGAGATGCAGGTGAGACACTAACAGTAAAGTTGATTTCTACGGTGAGAATTGGCAACTTTTCGTAAATAAGGTGGAACTTCCATGTCTAAAACCTGACTACAAGTGTTTCCTCATTCTGGACCGACAAACGGATCTTTTAATCTGGACTTTTTCTGATCCCTGGCTCCCTTGGGCAATGCTTGTCTCACAGGCACATGCCGAAAGCGTGATGGACCAGTTGGTGCACTGGGTCCGTGTGGACCCATCGGGCCTGGGCCAGCCCCAGCTCTCTGGCGACCGGCCTGTCAACAGCATGGCCGTACCCATGATGCTCCTGTGCCTGGTGGAGCAGCTCGGCGAGGGCAGGCCAGGCGTGGCTGAGAAGTACAGTGAAGTTGGTTCCTGGTGCGTCCAGCAGATCCTCCAGCACGTTCAGGTGATTGAGAAAGCGATAGCCTGGTTGGTGTGGTGCCCCCTGGTGACAGGAGTCTTGTATTACAGTTTTCTAAATGGTCAGGAAATTGCTCTCTTCTGTTTCCCCTCGGAAATTGGGTTTCTTTGTCTTTCTACACAAAATGAGGTACAGAAACAGAAATGGTATCCCAAAAGGCATGCAAATGCCAAGGTTGCATTAGCAAGATGACTAATTTCCTCCTCTGATTCTTGAATGAGTTCTGTGTATTTCTGCTGTTGAGGTGCTACAGATACTCTGTGTGTGTGTGTGTGTGTGTGTGTGTGTGTGTGTGTGTGTCTGAGGATGTGTGCTTGATCAGCGAGTTGCTGCCTGTTATAGGAAACCTTTTCATCAGTGTTTTTGGGGTGGGGCACCAAACCAAACCACACACATCCCACTTCTCCTTGTAACATCTGTGTACACATCCCCTACAGAATGGTACAACACAGATGTTACAAGGAGAAGTGGGATGTGTGTGGTT